TGTTCTCAAGCTCTCACCAGGAAGGTCTTTCAGGGCGTGACGAGCTTTTTGAAAACGGTCTTTTGCATGATATAGGGGCAGATGCGGGGACCACAGAACCATGTTTAATTTTTCCTGAACGGCCCTCTGAATACCAGAAAAGGGGGTCCCTAGTTCGATTCCTCGTGGTGACAAATTTTTGCATTTCGAGTTCGTTTCCAAATTCGCGCAAAATGGGATCGTACTTATGAGTATGGCATTCATTGTTTATGCTAACTCCATTTTGCACGAATTTTGAAGCGTTCAACTCGAAATGCAAAAATTTGTCACCACGAGGAAATCCGATCCAGGGACCCCCTTTTCTGGCATCAGAGTGGCCGTTACGGTTCTGTGTTCCGACTTGTGCCCCCAGCACGGTGCAAAATACCTGTTCTGAAAAAAAGTAGGGCCCCTGAAAGACCTTCCTGCAGAAGGGCCAGTATGCAATCCTGCGCGAAGCGGTTGAGGAAGAAAGTCCTTTAAATTTCTTTGTCTTCCCATCTGGGATTGCCCTGATAAAGGACCTACATTTAATGTATGTATGTAGGTAAAGTAAACATGCACTGAAAATGAAGAAACTATATCGTTCAAAACAAATAAATTTAAAGGAAACTTTGGATCACTTAGCTTCGGGGAGGATAGTATACGACTGAATAGCTCGTAAATCTATTTAAAACTACCCTAGCTTTCTTGAATAACTATAGGGCCATTGATTTCCTTCCATAGATGCTTATTATGACAGATTTTTCCAGTTCCATGTCCGTGCACACTTGATCAAGCACTTCTGGACGTCGGCCGATTCACCGCTTTGCCCGATTGCGACATGTTCGGCGACCATCGATGTCAGTATACACAAGGAGCTCAACACTGCGTCCTTTCAACGGCTAGTGTGTATGTTATCGTCATCTGTTTACCGAAATCAACCAAGTCACTGTGAACGGTGTCATTTTTCGAGAATTGCTACAAATGTGAGATGAAAAACGTATGCGGATTCCAACGTGAGGATGGAAATGGCCTTATACGATTTGTTCACCTACAGAATTGGAACTGACAAGGGAAGGATGGTAGGTCGAAGTGGCCGTTTGAAATGAAATGTATACCTCCTGATGCGTCTCCAGACGCTGATTCCAAATCTGCCTTCCAAATCTGCTAAACGGCTCTCCGAACGGAGTTATGAAGCGTAATAGCTCAGTGGTGATGGTCCGGGGTGGCAGGTAAAAGCTCGTAGGATCGGTTCCTTTGCAAATTGGTTGCTTTGCTAGAAGTGTTGCGGACAAAAGCAAAGCAACAAACTTGCAAAGGAACCGATCCTACGAGCTTTTACCTGCCACCCGGACCATCACCACTGAGCTATTACGCTTCATAACTCCGTTCGGAGAGCCGTTTAGCAGATTTGGAAGGCAGATTCGGAATCAGCGTCTGGAGACGCATCAGGAGGTATACATTTCATTTCGAACGGCCACTTCGACCTACCATCCTTCCCTTGTAGCTTGAGGGGCCGGAGGGAGATTTGCGAAGCGATGTGAGCAGTATATTTCCCTGGGTTTCCCCTGCTACTAGTTGGTCACTAGTGCACCCTACCATCCGTGCTTGAAGAACGCCCCCACCCAGAGTCAACCCTGCGTTGCGCAGTTCGCAACGGCACGTTGAGAGATCCTCAACGCACGCTGTATGGGCGGAGACACAGACGGCTCGAGCATGCGAGTGTGAATGTTCGCGCGAGAGAACGTGTCTAATCGGGCGAAACTGCGCAACGTGGCCGTTGAAAACTGCGCAACGCAGGGTTGACTCTGCTCCCCCCTCTGAGGAATGGGTGCGTATAATGCTAGTGAGCCAGGAGTTTCTTTCAGTGTCATTTGAAACGAGTTTGTCATCCTTTCTATGAGCGAAAGATTGCCATCATGCACACCCTCATCTTAAAATTGTCTACGAACCCGTACTGGTTAACGTGAGCGCTCATAGTTTACTCCAAGACCAGTCTGAGCGGAAATTAAACGATTTCCGGTTTTCCATGTAGTATTGCTCGGTGTTACAGGTCTTTCAGGACATGGAGCGCTTTTTCGAAACGGTTTCTTGCATGTTGTGGGGGCTCATACGAGGAACACAGAACCAATAATCCATTTTTCCTGAACGTCTCTAGGACTGTCAAACATTGGTGATAAAAATGGTCCCGAGTTCGATCCCCGGTGATGACTAATTTTTGCAATGTAGTTCGGCGCTCCAGATTGCGGCCAAATGGCTCCATCGTTGAGATAGACGTAACGTGGCGTTTTGTGGCATTTTGGAGGGCCCCAAAGCTGAATCTGGGGCGGAAGTGGTGTAGTGGCAAGTGGCACGCTCACCACGCGAGCGGTCCGGGATCAAATCCTGGGTCGTGAGTCGCCCGGGCCAACCAAGCCTTCCATCCCTCCGGGGTCGGTTAATTGGTACCAGACTTGTCTGGGAGGATAAAAACACTGACTTGAACATCGGCTGGCCCCCGCAAGTCATTGTATAGGCCACATCGCATTCAAACGCCACTGCGAATGTACAAATGGAAGTAGAATGCGTGCCGCATCCCAAAAAGGGATTGATCAACGGCAAATGCTTTATCCTTTTATCTTTGAATTGCAAAAATTGTTCAGGCAGAGGATCGAACTTTGAACCATTTCTTCTCCCCTGTTTTGAGACACCTAGGGCGTTCAGGAAAAATGAACCATGGCTCTGTATTCCTCGCATGAAAACCTCAAAGCTACGGGACAGGTAAAAAAAACGCATGAGTATGTCTGAAAGAACTCCTTGTTAGCACTGTTAGCCAGCCTCCAACAGTTCGAACAGCTATACCCTGGCAATAGACCATGTACTATTATATGAAAGAACTCACACGCATTCCTCCAACGATCACTGATTTCATCCTTCAGCTGGACTGGAGCGGGCCAAACGTGCTGCTGTTATGACTGGGACGGTTGGCTGATGTTCAGTGACGATTTTGAATACAACGATCAGTATCTTCGATTTCTACTCGGCTGGCGTTCCATACAGGTGAGCTTTAGTGACGATGTTTATGAGTCTTGACACAAGACATAGGCTTAGGGGCATGAGTGGAGGGATCCGATGGGGAGAGGGGGAGGGAGTCTAGAAACTATGTAGTTAAATGTAATGTCGAGTTCAATGAGTAGAGGACTCTCCTTCCTGCATCCTGATTTCCTCCACTCATGCCCCTGTAGGAAACATGTCAATTACTTACATACTTTCTAGATTCACAAGAAAGCATGATTAGTTTCGAAGATGCGTCCGCTTTCAGAGCTCATCCTTTTGGTGCGTTTCCATACAAACGTCCCTCCTTATGTGCCTACAATGTCGAACTTTTTCAACGACCTACTACCGTACGAAATGTGCTGCAAATGGGCAGGTCACTGCGAGTTCTACTTTTGGAGACGTCAAACCAGTACCTGCCAGGAGTACAAGCCACCCACAATAGGTAGAGTTTTGCTTTTCTCACAGTACAATCTTGTTATGGACAACTTAAAGGAGGAATTCACGATTAGAATGAAGGTCGAAGAAAGGGAAACTGACCTAGTTGAGGGACCCACGGACCTCCTGAGGGTGCGAACTGACGCGCAATTCGCATGGAAAAATTTGACCTCGGCGACCTATCATGCCTCAAAGCTGGCGGGTCCGGCGATCTCCGCCCACCGATCATCTGATCACTCGCCGTAGTTCAATACGTGGCGAGTGATTAGATAGCTGAGAGTTGAAGGGCACAGCGATGAGAGTCGCATCAATGCTCAAATCAACGGGCAAGGAAGGGGTCCCATTTCTCGGGTTCTGGGCCGTTTCTCATGGTTTTCCTTCTTTCGTGTACCACTCACCATCCCTAGGTTAATTTGAAATGGGTTGCTTTTTCATCGTGAATTCGTCCTTTAAGGCAACCACCAAAATATTTACGCCACTGTACAATGCGCTATAAGGTCACCAGGGCATTTATATTCATGAAAAAAGGATAGATAAGATCAACTCATTAGCTCTGATCAGTCCCTCCATTTGGAATGTGCCACGCACTCGATTCCCACCAAGAATC